TCCTATGTAAACATTGCCGTTCCTGTATAATGGCAATGGTTTCATTTGCAGGCTTAAACTGATGGGGACATGGCACCCAGACCACTTTATCGAGATGAATTGGTCTGTGTGACTACACTGTTCCTTTAACTATTTTATTGTCTTTGCAATTGACGAAGGCATATCTCAACAAATGCAGGAATGTAGTCCTAAAACACTAAATCGTAGTCAATTGAAAACCAAATTTTAAAAAAGTGTGAATTTGGACAAAGTCTCCAACTCACAGCTTGTTTAGTTTGATCTAAATTCTGCCATTTTATTTTATTTGCTACAATCTGATGTTTTTAGTGAAATAACCTTATAATGGGAGAGGTATGGCAGAGAATAAGAGTTCTTTAAGAATACACTTAAAACAATGTTTAAATCATTGATACACCTAGAAAATATTGCACATGATATTAAGATGGGACAATAGTATCATTCCCCAAATCCCCAATCTGTATTAATGGAGCACAAAAAAGGGAAACATTGATGGTTGTCATAGAGGAGTGGAAACGATGAAAAAAATAAATAGAATAAATTGAAATAAAATATACTCACTTGTGTAGAGCAGAGGATACTGCTCTATTGACACATCACTGGTGGAATGATCCCCACCTAGGATTTCTTGAATCAGGATACAATAAAAATGCCAGGAAAAGTAACAATAAAAAGTGCATATAAAATACAATAAAATGAAGATTGGTCCTATAAAAATAGTAACCAAAAAAACTTTTATTGTTAAAATACACAATTCATTAACGCGTTTCACCTTTAAGGCTTTATCAAAATAGTTATTTTGATAAAGCCTTAAAGGTGAAACGCGTTAATGGTTTTAAATTGTGTATTTTAACAATAAAAGTTTTTTTGGTTACCTTTTATCAAAATGGAATCAATTATGGAGGAGACCTCATACTCTTCCTTTCCAGAAACAACTAAGGGAGGAGGAGGGACACTTGAGACAGTATATTTATTGCAAACAAGAGGTTTGAGCAAGGACACATGAAAGGTATTAGGAATTTTTACGGAGGCCGGAAGGGCCAGAGAGTACACAACAGGATTGATCCTACGAAGGACACGAAAAGGTCCAAGGAACCTAGGAGCAAATTTCATGCTAGGGACTTTGAGCCTGATGTTACAAGAAGATAACCAAACCCTCTCACCCACTTGGTAAACAGGGTTGGCACCTCGACGTGTATCAGCATAATGCTTGAAACTGTCAGCAGCAGTACCCAGAGCAGATTGAACTTTAACCCAGCTATCACGGATGGAATCCAGACGGTCATCCAAAGCAGGAATAGCCGTCTCAGAAAAAACAGCTGGTAGGACAGTAGGATGCCGGCCATTATTAACAAAAAATGGACTATGCCCAGAGGAGTCATGGTCAGCATTGTTTCTAGCAAACTCGGCCCATGGTAATAATTCAGACCAATTGTCTTGAGTGCTATTAACGAAACAACGCAAGTATAACTCCAAAGACTGTTTAGCCCTCTCAGCTGTACCATTAGTCTGGGGGTGGTAAGAGGATGAAAAAGACAATTCAATCCCCAATTGCTTATTGAAAGCCCTCCAAAACTGGGATAAAAACTGAGAACCTCTATCAGATACAATATTGCGAGGAATGCCATGCAGACGGACAATCTCACGTATAAAGATCAGTACCAGGTCTTGAGATGACGGTAATTTCTTGAGAGGGATGAAGTGAGCCATTTTAGAAAAACGGTCAACAACCATGAGAATAGTGGTATAACCATTAGAACTAGGAAGTTCTACAATGAAATCCATAGACAAGTGGGACCATGGGACCTCAGGAACAGGAAGAGGTTGTAACAAGCTACAAGGGAGTTTATGAGGTACTTTGGAAACCGCACAAACAGAACAAGCCTGCACATACTCCTTAACATCCTTCCTGAGGGAATCCCACCAGAATGACCTCATGATAGCAGAAGTGGATTTATTAACCAGCAGACACATTGTCGTGAAACACCTTTATGATATTAACCCTTTCCACCAATGGAACAAACAATTTGTCCTGAGGTTTACCGCAGGGAGCCTGAGACTAAGCGTCCATGATGGAGCCAAGCAGCGGAGAGGACAATGAAATGATAGTGGGGGGAATGATATGGGACTTTTCTTGCTCTTGTAGAGACTCAGTATCAAACTGTCTGGATAAGGCGTCAGCCTTGACATTTTTAGAACCAGGTCTATAAGTAATAAGAAAATTAAAGCGAGAAAGGAACAGAGACCACCTAGCTTGTCTAGAAGACAATCGTTTAGCATCTCCTATGTAAGCCAGGTTTTTGTGATCAGTAATAATCAAAAGGGGGTCCTTGGAACCCTCTAAAAGATGCCACCACTCCTTGAGAGCTAGAATAATGGCCAACAATTCCCTATTGCCAATATCATAATTGCGCTCGGCAGGAGACAACTTTCTAGAGAAGTAACCACAAGGATGCAATGGAGTATCATGGCTCTCCCTCTGGGAAAGAACTGCCCCCTACCCTTGTCTCTGATGCATCAACTTCCAGTATGAAAGGTTTACTGGTGTCAGGATGTATCAATATGTCAGTGGAGGCAAACCGCTGTTTGAGAGTTTCAAAGGCTTCTATAGCCTCATTAGACCATATCGTACTGCTAGCCCCCTTGCGTGTCATATTGGTGATGGGGGCTATTACTGAAGAAAATCCCTTTTTAAACCTTCTGTAATAATTGGCAAAACCAATGAACCTTTGAATGGCTTTCAACCCAGTGGGTAAAGGCCATTGTAGAGCCCATTCCAGCTTTTTAGGATCCATCTGAAACCCCGAGGCAGAGATATTATATCCAAAAAACTGTACTTCAGATTGGTCAAAGATGAATTTTTCTAATTTACAATAAAGTTGATTCTTTAACAAGGTCTGCAGAACTTGTCTAACGTGATCATGGTGAATGAAGAATGGATTCTTTTTTTAGCCTCGTATTTTTTTTTTTGTGCTCAGGTTTTATTTTTATTTTTTT